ATATATGTTTTGGGTAGGGAAACACAATTAAAGATGCACTCCGGGATCTTAAGCACAACAAATTCGTAAAACATATTGCACAAATTTGATTCTTAGCATATCACCCGAATTGTAAAATTCGTATGATATCAAATCAATTGCAAAATTCTTAACATGTCACACGAAATGAATGACATAGTACACAATTGGATCACGTAGTACACAAAAAAAGGGGACTACTTTTGGTTTGTGAGCACCACCTTCAATACTACTCAATTATACAAAAGTTTCAGAGTGCATCTTTAATCAAATTTTAATCTAAATTGCAATATTGACATGTGCAATATCCATATCCATGTAATAAGGGTCCCCTGGGAAGCTCTGACCAACACATTTAGTCATTTTAGCAGACGCTCTTATCCAGAGCGACTTACAACTAGTGAGTGCATACATTTTTTCATACACACTTTGGTTCCACCCCCTGTCACAGCAACTTCTACTGTACCTGTCTTTGTCATTAGTTGTCATGCCAAACAACACCAACCATTGAATCAGAAAACGAATTGTATTTCTATGATTCCAATAGTTCACCCAAGTTTTTTGATCTTTAAATTGCAAGTAAAATCCCAATCGCAATATTTAGGTTAAAATAATTTGCAATTAGATGATTTGCCCATATCGTGCAGCCCTAGTTTTAGGAGCCGCTACTGTGGGTTAGAGCACTGACTAATATGTGTAATCCAGACTAAAAGGACTTCATGCTCTTCCTAATCACACATAAGGGCAGCCAAGGCTACATTTTGGCTTTCTGATTTGTGTAGCAGCCTCCCATCCTCCTAATAGAACACATAACAGTAGTGGGGTAATAGAATACATAACAGTAGTGGGGTAATAGAACACATAACAGTAGTGGGGTAATAGAACACATAACAGTAGTGGGGTAATAGAACACACAACAGTAGTGGGGTAATAGAACACATAACAGTAGTGGGGTAATAGAACACATAACAGTAGTGGGGTAATAGAACACATAACAGTAGTGGGGTAATAGAACACATAACAGTAGTGGGGTAATAGAACACATAACAGTAGTGGGGTAATAGAACACATTACAGTAGTGGGGTAATAGAACACATAACAGTAGTGGGGTAATAGAACACATAACAGTAGTGGGGTAATAGAACACATAACAGTAGTGGGGTAATAGAACACATAACAGTAGTGGGGTAATAGAACACATAACAGTAGTGGGGTAATAGAACACATAACAGTAGTGGGGGTAATAGAACACATTACAGTAGTGGGGTAATAGAACACATAACAGTAGTGGGGTAATAGAACACATAACAGTAGTGGGGTAATAGAACACATAACAGTAGTGGGGTAATAGAACACATAACAGTAGTGGGGTAATAGAACACATAACAGTAGTGGGGTAATAGAACACATTACAGTAGTGGGGTAATAGAATACATAACAGTAGTGGGGTAATAGAACACATAACAGTAGTGGGGTAATAGAACACATAACAGTAGTGGGGTAATAGAACACATAACAGTAGTGGGGTAATAGAACACATAACAGTAGTGGGGTAATAGAACACATAACAGTAGTGGGGTAATAGAACACATAACAGTAGTGGGGTAATAGAACACATAACAGTAGTGGGGTAATAGAACACATAACAGTAGTGGGGTAATAGAACACATAACAGTAGTGGGGTAATAGAACACATAACAGTAGTGGGGTAATAGAACACATAACAGTAGTGGGGTAATAGAACACATAACAGTAGTGGGGTAATAGAACACATAACAGTAATGGGGTAATAGAACACATAACAGTAGTGGGGTAATAGAACACATAACAGTATCGTACGGGTGCAGGTTACAATTCTTTACAGACAAATCAATATATATATATATATTTTTAAGATCGATGATATATCCCATTATTCATTTCTTTTTAAGTCATTTAGCAGACACTCTTATCCAGAACGACTTACAGTAGTGAGTGCTTTTTCTGTTCATGGTCCCCCATGAGAATCGAACCCACGACCCTGGCGTTGCAAGTGAGCCACATGGGACAGTATATTCTTGAAGGTGGGCATGGAAAGACTTAGGAGTCCCCTATTCATTCATTATATGAATGTTACAGTGCCAAAGCATTCAACCCCCTTGACCCATTCCACACACTACTGTGTAACAGCCCGAACTCAAAACAGACCGAATTGATCTCTTTTCTCACCAATCAACAAACCAATATTGTTAATGTATTCAGTAAAAAGTACTAGACCCAGAACTGACCCCTGCGGGACACCTTTCGTTATATCCAGAAAACTAGATTTAACACCATCATTATACATACATTTGAGTTCTATCTGTCAAGTGGTTTTTAAACCAGTTACACACAGCCTGGTCTAGGCCAATTTAGGAAAGCCTCTGAGTTAGCCGTGAGAGCTATGAGATGGATGGGGAGTAACGAGGGATTAGAGAGAGAGAATAGAGCCAGACACTCAAATCACTCTGGTGATAGATGCTGCTGGAATGCACTCGTCCGTTTCTGCTATTGTTTGAACGCACCAGAGACTTGACGGGAAAGCAACAACTTCAAAGAGAAAGAGAACATTATCTGGTCATCTGGCAGAGAGAAAAACATCTTTCCAAACTTTTAAAGTATTCCAGACTGTTCGTTGATACTCTACTGGCGTGACTCACTGTAACTTTATTGTTCAAGTCCAGAGCATTAAAAATACCTGGATGGAAGACAGCTCCGTTGTGAGAGTGAGAGAAAGACACAGAAAGGAGGAGGCAAAACAAGAAAAAGTGAGAAAGGTTATGATAAGACCGAAGAATGTTTGTACAAAGTTACAGTATGAGACAGTGAAGAGTTGTGGAGAGAAGCTAGAATAATTCATATTTACTGTATAAAACCGTAATCGACGGCCCCCTTGTGTCAATCAAAACAAAAAATGTAAATATTGCAAATGAACTTAAAATAACCTGTTCAAATGCACTTGCGTGCTTAGATGACAATTGACTTGTACATCCAACCAGAGTATTGTCCTATGTCTGAGTATACGTTGACTAACCAGGGTGAGACCCTGGACAGGCTATTTACCGTAGGTCTAGGGCAGTGGTCACCGACTGAGTCAAGATCACTTGCTGAGTCTAAATGCAAGCCGAGATCTACCGCACAGTTGTTTTAAAAACATGACTTAAAAAACGTAAGCCTATGCAACATGAACCAATGGAAAAACTGTTCTGTAACAGTGAGGTTTGTGCAGTAGGCTATAGACCCAGTACATTATCATTGCATATTGGCTTTGCTTGAATTGTCCTGCCAATGTTGTTCTTCTCAGACTATTTAGAATGTATATTTAAAACATTTAGGTATATGATCACACTGGTAATAGATAGTTTATTGTGTTACTTGTGAGGCACAGCTGAGTGAGCATTATATATCTATACATACAGTATATCTATATGTCTATATTTCTATATATATTTACTATTATTATTATATATTTTTTGTTTTACTGAACTGATGGTTTGAGGGGAGGGATGGAGCAGCGGTGAGGCTGCCTCTCACCCGACTCACCATCTCCCTGCTCTCCTGAGACAAGGGGACACAGTCTTCCAGCTGATGGCGAAACTCAAGTAGCACTGCATTATTTCTGCCTCATGCACCAATTCATGTTGTTACTCCTATGATCAGAGAAAGTGAACTATTCCTCGACATTAAAAAAGACACAAGCCGCTAATAATACCAACGCAAGCTTATCGGAACACTTTGCTGTACTCCTTCATTGCAGCAGCAGTGCTGGTGGTAGCGAGTGGAAGTGTTGAGTGGAAGTAGGGAGAACGGGCATTTTATGGCTCATAAAAGTGTTGAACAAAGTGTTGACATTGTTGAATAACAACTTCAACATGAACGTACTGTTCTCAGTTTGTCACACTGTGCCCAAGAGCTGAGAACACTGACTTCACATCTGTCCCTAAATCAGAAGAGGTTGTCGACCACTGACCATACAGTATCTAGGTACAGTAACAGTCTAATCATTCTCCCCCAGTTCACAGTCTAATCAGTCTCCCCCAGTTCACAGTCTAATCAGTCTCCCCCAGTTCACAGTCTAATCAGTCTCCCCCAGCTCACAGTCTAATCAGTCTCCCCCAGTTCACAGTCTAATCAGTCTCCCCCAGTTCACAGTCTAATCAGTCTCCCCCAGTTCACAGTCTAATCAGTCTCCCCCAGTTCACAGTCTAATCAGTCTCCCCCAGCTCACAGTCTAATCAGTCTCCCCCAGTTCACAGTCTAATCAGTCTCCCCCAGTTCACAGTCTAATCAGTCTCCCCCAGCTCACAGTCTAATCAGTCTCCCCCAGCTCACAGTCTAATCAGTCTCCCCCAGCTCACAGTCTAATCAGTCTCCCCCAGCTCACAGTCTAATCAGTCTCCCCCAGTTCACAGTCTAATCAGCCTCCCCAGTTCACAGTCTAATCAGTCTCCCCCAGCTCACAGTCTAATCAGTCTCCCCCAGTTCACAGTCTAATCAGTCTCCCCCAGTTCACAGTCTAATCAGTCTCCCCCAGCTCACAGTCTAATCAGTCTCCCCCAGTTCACAGTCTAATCAGTCTCCCCCAGTTCACAGTCTAATCAGTCTCCCCCAGTTCACAGTCTAATCAGTCTCCCCCAGTTCACAGTCTAATCAGTCTCCCCCAGTTCACAGTCTAATCAGTCTCCCCCAGTTCACAGTCTAATCAGTCTCCCCCAGTTCACAGTCTAATCAGTCTCCCCCAGTTCACAGTCTAATCAGTCTCCCCCAGTTCACAGTCTAATCAGTCTCCCCCTGTTCACAGTCTAATCAGTCTCCCCCCAGTTCACAGTCTAATCAGCCTCCCCCCAGTTCACAGTCACACTCCACAGCAGGCCCTACACAGTGCAGTGTGGTGTAATTATGTGTCTTGTCATGCAGTGATACTGTAGTTTCTGTATTGAGAGTTCCTACTCCCTACTTGGACATTAGGGGGGAGGAAGAAGCGTCTTCTTACCTGTGAAGAAGCTCTTGACCCGGAGGTAGCTGACGCTGAGGCGCAGCACGGACAGTTTATCCAGCTTGGAGATGATGTCTGGGGAGAAGGGCAGCATGCTGGCCAGCCGGTCCAGCTCCGCGTTCAGGCGGTCCCGGTGCCTTTTGGACGGGTTGGACTTCTCACTCACCGTCGCTGGTTTCCTGGTGAAAACACAGCGGACATATGTTAGGGTCTGTTATTGTGACGGTTTGTAGCTGTTTGATTTTTTTTTTAAGTCTGGCAGACTCAACTGTTAACAGAGAGATGTACTGTGCTTTTGGGTGCAGGAGGGCCGAGAGCCACATAGCAACAGAATATAAACACGGAATCATTATGTAAATCAACACAATATATTCATACCCTCTGGAAGATGACAGTTTTCTTTGAGTTTTTTTCATGACGCGATCAAAAGCAGTGACATAGTGAAACATACAATATGTGAAGTTAATTTACATCAATTCTTCATTCAGCAATTGCGCACACGCACACACACACACACACACACACACACACACACACACACACACACACACAGGGTAACAGCATTGAAGGTTTTGGACAAACAACAGCCATCAATCAATAATAACATTAAGAGAGCCTTTACAGACACAGACGGGTTGACAGCATCAAGCATCACCGTGCCAGACAGACGGGTTGACAGCATCAAGCATCACCGTGCCAGACAGACGGGTTGACAGCATCAAGCATCACCGTGCCAGACAGACGGGTTGACAGCATCAAGCATCACCGTGCCAGACAGACGGGTTGACAGCATCAAGCATCACCGTGCCAGACAGACGGGTTGACAGCATCAAGCATCACCGTGCCAGACACAGACGGGTTGACAGCCTCAAATCAAATGTATTTGTCACATACACATGGTTAGCAGGTGTTATTGCGAGTGCAGCGAAATGCTTGTGCTTCTAGTTCCGACAGTGCAGTAATATCTAACAAGTAATATCTAACAGTTCCACAACAAATATCTAATACACACAAATCTAAGTAAAGGAATGGAATAAGAATATATAAATATATGGATGAGCAATGTCATTATCAGAGTGGCATAGGCTAAGATGCAATAGATAGTATAGAATACAGTATATAGATATGAGATGGGCAATGCAAGATATGTAAACATTATTAAAGTGGCATTATTAAAGTGACTAGTGTTCCATTTATTTAAGTGGCCAGTGATCTTCAAGTCTGTATGTAGGCAGCAGCCTCTCTGTGCTAGTGATGGCTGTTTAACAGTCTGATGGCCTTGAGATAGAAGCTGTTTTTCATTCTCTCGGTCCCAGCTTTGATGCACCTGTACTGACCTCGCCTTCTGGATGATAGCGGGGTGAACAGGCAGTGGCTCAGGTGGTTGATGTCCTTGATTATATTTTTGGCCTTCCTGTGACATCGGGTGCTGTAGGTGTCCTGGAGGGCAGGTAGTTTGCCCCTGGTGATGCGTTGTACAGACCCAGGGCCTCAAGCTTAATGATGAGCTTGGAGGGTACTATGGTGTTGAATGCTGAGCTATAGTCAATGAACAGCATTCTTACATAGGTATTCCTCTTGTCCAGATGGGATAGGGCAGTGTGCAGTGTGATGGCGATTGCATCGTCTGTGGATCTATTGGGGCGGTAAGCAAATTGAAGTGGGTCTAGGGTGACAGGTAAGGTGGAGGTGATATGATCCTTGACTAGTCTCTCAAAGCACTTCATGATGACAGAAGTGTCATCAGGACAATGACACAACACATCTACAGGCTGTGTAAGGACTATTTTACCAAGAAGGAGAGTGATGGAGTGCTGCATCAGATGACCTGGCCTCCACAATCCCCCAACCTCAACCCAATTGAGATGGTTTGAGTTGGATGGCAGAGTGAAGGAAAAGCAGCCAACAAGTGCTCAGCATATATGGGAACTCCTTCAAGACTGTTGGAAAAGCATTCCAGGTGAAGCTGGTTGAGAGAATGCCAAGAGTGTGCAAAGCTGTCATCAAGGCAAAGGGTGGCTATTTGAAGAATCTCAAATATAAAATATATCTTGATTTGTTTAACACTTTTTTGCTTACTACATAATGCCATATGTGTTACGTCATAGTTTAGATGTCTTCACTACTATTCTACAATGTAAAAAATATTAAAAATAAAGAAAAACACTTGAATGAGTAGGTGTGTCCAAACTTTTGACTGGTAGTGTATATATTTGCATATTCTTCTCAAATTTGACATCAATTGTAGCTAGCTGAAACCTGTTGTTGGATTCAACATTTAAACGGTTAGTGCTACAGTAGCCGATGGTTAGCCTATATACTGAAAGAGCTGCAAAATCTGGACCCCTACAAATCACCTGGGCTAGACAATCTGGACCCTTTCTTTCTAAAATTAGCCGCCAAATTTGTCGCAACCCTTATCACCAGCCTGTTCAACCTCTCTTTCGTATCGTCTGAGATCCCCAGAGATTGGAAAGCTGCCGCGGTCATCCCCCTCTTCAAAGGGGGTGACACTCTAGATCCAAACTATTACAGACCTATATCCATCCTGCCCTGCCTTTCGAAAATATTTGAAAGCCAAGTTAACAAACAGATCACCGACCATTTAGAATCCCACCGTACCTTCTCCGCTATGCAATCTGGTTTCCGAGCTGGTCATGGGTGTACGTCAGCCACGCTCAAGGTCCTAAATGATATTATAACCGCGATCGATAATAGACAGTACTGTGCAGCCGTCTTCATCGACCTGGCCAAGGCTTTCGACTCTGTCAATCACCGCATTCTTATTGGCAGACTAAATAGCCTTGGTTTCTCAAATGACTGCCTCGCCTGGTTCACCAACTACTTCTCAGATAGAGTTCAATGTGTCAAATCGGAGGGCCTGTTGTCTGGACCTCTGGCAGTCTCTATGGGGGTGCCACAGGGTTAAATTCTCGTGCCGACTCTATTCTCTGTGTATATCAATGATGTCGCTCTTGCTGCTGGTGACTCTCAGATCCACCTCTACGCAGACGACACCATTTTGTATACATCTGGCCCTTCATTGGACACTGTGTTAACAAACCTCCAAACGAGCTTCAACGCCATACAACACTCCTTCCGTGGCCTCCAACTGCTCTTAAACGCTAGTAAAACTAAATGCATGCTCTTCAATCGAACGCTGCTGGCACCCGCCCAGCCAACTAGAATCACTACTCTCGACGGGTCTGACCTAGAGTATGTGGACAACTACAAATACCTAGGAGTCTGGTTAGACTGTAAACTCTCCTTCCAGACTCACATTAAGCATCTCCAATCCAAAGTTAAATCTAGAATCGGCTTCCTATTTCACAACAAAGCCTCCTTCACTCATGCTGCCAAACATGCCCTCATAAAACGGACTATCCTACCGATCCTTGACTTCGACGATGTAATTTACAAAATAGCCTCCAACACTCTACTCAGCAAATTGGATGTTACTGTGACCTGTACGCTCTTTTTGGCTGGTCCTCATTACATGTTCGTCATCAAACCCACTGGCTCCAGGCCATCTATAAATCACTGCTAGTATGCGTTCCAGCAGGTATATCTCACTGGTCATCCCCAAAGCCAACACCTCCTTTGGTCGCCATTCCTTCCAGTTCTCTGCTGCAAATGACTGGAACAAACTGCAAAAATCTCTGAAGCTGGAGACATTTATCTCCCTCACTATCTTTAAGCATCAGTTGTCAGAGCAGCTTACCGATCACTGCACCTGTACACAGCCTATCTGTAATTAGCCCACCCAACTACCTCATCCCCATATTGTTATTTACATTGTTATTTATTTTGCTCATTTGCACCCCAGTATCTCTATTTCCACATCATCTTCTGCACATCTATCACTCCAGTGTTAATACTAAATTATAATTGTAATTATTTGGCACTATGGCCTATTTATTGCCTTACCTCCATAACTTACTACATTTGCACACAATGTATATAGATGTTCTATTGTGTTATTGACTGAACGTTTTGTTTATTCCATATGTAACTCTGTGTTGTTGTTGTTTTTATCGCACTGCTTTGCTTTATCTTGGCCAGGTCGCAGTTGTAAATGAGAACTTGTTCTCAACTGCCTTACCTGGTTAAATAAAGGTGAAATAAAATAAAATTAAAACATTTGAAACCATCACGTTTCCTACAAGTCATTTTAACCTTGCATCACCTTTTTTTTTTTAATCAAGTTTGGAACCACAAGCATCCACAAGAATCTGCTAACTACTTCTGTCTCCTGTCACTAAAAACATACACATTTCACACAAATAATAAACGTAACGTACTGTTGAGCTACCATGTAGGCAGGCTATTCCCACATAGTGAAACATTGTGATAGTGTATTGAGCAACGCAAAAAAAAGTTTATCCAAACTTCAGAAGTAGAAGTAAAAGTAGACATAAAATCCATAAAAACAGTTTTCAGCATGTTCAAATATAAATGTTACTATGTTACGAGTAAAGTATGTGATTCTTAACTGTTTTTGAACTGGCTTCCTTCTTTTCCTGCCAGCGTACATGCAGTCTCCCGGCGGGATCATGGTCCTGCGCTCCGTAAAGGTAACAGGTGCGCTGCAGAGAAGATGGAGAAAACTTTTCACTGTTCCCACATATGACATACACAAGTTCCATGAACCGGTCAGAATACCACACTCCATAAAGGAACTGATGGAAAAGTTGTTCGGTGATGCTATCAAGATCGAGTCATTTGTCAACGTACGTTATGAAGACTATTGCCATTCAAATAATCAGTAAGAAAATGAACAGGATTAATTAGGATAAAGACGTAACTAGGCCTAAACAGTTGCTTGTCAATAGTTTGTTTACACTACTGACACTTAAATATAATGAAGCTGCAAAATCCATAATAACACAAGTCGAAGCCAACTCTTAAGATTATTCACATCAAATAAAAAAACGTTGAAAGTCATTCTCAAATAGGTTACTTAGAAGAAAAGGGGGAAACAACCATTAAACACTTACCAAGAAGGTCTGTCAATATTACTTAATTCCAGTATAATGTTAGATGGGTCATTCAAATTGAATGGGTATATTATAGATGTTGGTACTTCCTAAGTAGACAATGGTGATAATTCCTCGGGAAAATACAGAAAACGTCTATCAGACGTCTGAACTGATGTTTTCATCAGTTTGCAATGCTCGAGGCAGATGTGGTTGTTGATGCTTTATACCCAATTGAGTCGCTTTCACTTCCTCGTGTTTCAGGTGGCGGATTGCTCTGAATGACATGTGGAGCTCTTCGCACGCAACTGCCTCACAAACAGACTGCGCACGCACACACATTTATGAGAAGCGCTAGGGGAGGAATCTCACCCGAAGCACCACACTACACATCTCATTACCGTTCTCCTGGCAGCAGGATATGCATCCTGGCATCACAATCGCTGTTTATTTTTCTCTCAAAATAAGAGTCCCCCTATAAAGACATGCTAAACTTTGGGAATATCAATTATAAAAAAACGATTTAACTGAATTGCAACCACCTTTTAAAAAAAATATTTATAATTTGACGTACTTTTATTTTAAAAATTGTATTATTTATACAATTTCTGTAGAAAGTTTAAACCAATACTGGTATGTTGACAGCTATTGTGTTGGCCATATGTACAGAAATACACTTTTAATACAAATATATGTAATTGGAATTACTACTAGTAGAGTCTACAAAACTTAAATGGGTCTCTTGTGCTGGGGAACGGGTTTAATACAGAGTGCTGGTGACTCATTACTCCACCCACTCCATTCACTGCAATGCAATACACTGCATATTCATTACATATTGGCTTATGGAGAAAAAAACTGTTATTTGTGACGATGTAAAAGTGGGATTGGGAGAACTCAGTAGGGTCTGTAGAATCTATATGGTGTATGGAGAAAAAACTGTTATTTGTGCCGATGTAAAAGTGGGATTGGGAGAACTCAGTACGGTCTGTAAATCTATATGGTGTATGGAGAAAAAACTGTTATTTGTGCCGATGTAAAAGTGGGATTGGGAGAACTCAGTAGGGTCTGTAAATCTATATGGTGTATGGAGAAAAAACTGTTATTTGTGCCGATGTAAAAGTGGGATTGGGAGAACTCAGTACGGTCTGTAAATCTATATGGTGTATGGAGAAAAAACTGTTATTTGTGCCGATGTAAAAGTGGGATTGGGAGAACTCAGTAGGGTCTGTAGAATCTATATGGTGTTCTTTCATGGGGCACTAAATAATACGGAGTGTTGCTGACCTTCCACCCATTCCATTGGCCACAATGCCAATCACTGTATATGAAATACATATTGGCTTATAGAGAAATAAAAATAAAAACTATTATTTGTGCCGATGTAAAAGTGGGGTTGGGAGTTTCTTCACTATAAGCCAATATGTATTTCATATACAGTGTTTTGCATTGTGGCCTATGGAATGGCTGTAGTAAAAGGCTAGCAACACTCAGTATTATTCAATGCCCCATGAAATTACACCATATATCCATATATAGATTCTACAGGCCCTACATCGGCACAAATAATAGTTTTTTTTTTTTCATTATAAGTCCAATATTGTCAACATACCAGTCTGAACACTGTATTTTTTAATAGGGATCTTAAAATAATATTTAAAATGTTTTCCATAAATTCCTTCTTGTATTGGCTTATAAGCACAATAAATCGACATTGATTAAAATCTAAAATATATTTGTAATAAGTTATCCACCTTGCAATGTTTTGAAATGCGGGCTTTTGTTTTGAAGGTTTCCTTATTACCATAGAAAGTGACGTCATCGTTTGTTCTGCTAGTGGAACAGTAGTACAACTATTACCGTAGCTGAAATTTGCACAGGGAGATTTTTACTGTCCGGTGTCTGACGCGTTGTCCGAAATGGAAAGGATATTTGGAGCAAGCATTTTTGGATCGTTTTGGATTCGCAAAACCACCTCTAAACTGTCAATAGCTGGATATATTATCTCCTCAACTTGGTTTGAATGGTGCGTTTGGAATTTTAATTTTAATTTTATTTTTTTCGATCACAGGAGATGTCAGGAATTTCCTATGTTGCTAAGTAATGTCTTATTTTGTTTACTAGCCCATAGTGCGTGCTGTATTTTATCACAATGGTTTTAAAATGACCAAAATGGTTTGAACCAGCTAGGGCTATACGGGTCTTCCCAGAACAAATCCGACCAGTCTAGTTCAGTCGCAGTCACATTTCATTGCATTACCTCACTACCAGATGTTATTGTGGGCAATATGTACATTTTAAGTACATTTGTTTGCCCTTTTGATAATCTAGCCTATGTAAGGCTATATGCAGAGAGACTGGTGGGAGGGAGACTGGTGGGTGATTGTCATATAGGATCTGTAGCCTATAGTGTTTTGTTGTTGTTGCCATCTGCATAAAGTCAAAAAAATTATATTATAATGTAATTATATTCACTGAAGAGAACTTCACTTTCACTTCATGTGTCATTTGTTTAGGCTACTGTTATGTAACTGACTCTGAAAACTAACTGTGAGATTTCTTATGTGATAAAAATATCTGAAATCAATTTTATTTGGCTCCCATGTTTCTTGTTCTTTACTTTTTTTTTTTCAAACAAACAAATGTTGCAAATGTGGCAATGGAAATTACATAGTGTTCTCTGTCTCTCTCTGTCTCTCTCTGTCTCTCTCTCTCTCTCTCTCTCGCTCTCTCTCTCTCTCTCTCTCTCTCTCTCTGTCTCTCTCTCTCTCTCTCTCTCTCTCTCTCTCTCTCTCTCTCTCTCTTTCTCTCTCTCTCTCTCTCTCTCTCTCTGTCTCTCTCTCTCTCTCGCTCTCTGTCTCTCTCTCTTTGTCTCGCGCTCTCTCTGTCTCTCTTTCTCTCGCTCTCTCTCACTCTCTGTCTATCTCCGTCTGTCCCCCCCCCCCCCTCTCTCTCTAGCTCACCACACGCATTCCATTAATGAAAGAAGCAACTGTAAAGTCGATGAACATAAACATAAGCATCTGTAAAGCAGATTTCAGATTTCAGATGAAAGCCGTATCCTCAAAAGAGTATCACTCTGATTTATAAAACATGGAATCTGACTGACTTCCCAGAAAAAAGGGCAAATCCTTTGTAGAATGCATTTAGGCAGGCTTGCATGTGGAATAAAACGAAAACGAGAGAAAAGTCCCCCCAGAGTGTATGAATGGCAAATGGGCCTTGAGGTGATGCACTTACATGGAAGGAGATGGAATCCAACAGGATGTACAGCTGTGGTGGAGCGAGAGAGAGTGGAGGAGAGAGAGTGCGTGTGAGAGAGAGTGGAGGAGAGAGAGTGGAGGAGAGAGAGTGCGTGTGAGAGAGAGTGGAGGAGAGAGAGTGGAGGAGAGAGAGTGCGTGTGAGAGAGAGTGGAGGAGAGAGAGTGGAGGAGAGAGAGTGCGTGTGAGAGAGAGTGGAGGAGAGAGAGGGCTAAAAGAGGGAGCTTGTAGGATACTGTTCAACCCATCTAAACTACACCAGCTCACCTACTCCCAAGACAATGGTGTGCTTGACTGCAGTTCACATGCCTGCATATTTTATCACCTGGTAGGGTGAGAGTGGCGACCATCTTCACGAAATAAAGATCTGCAAAAGGGAAGACTTGGAGTGCAGTACGTGTCTTCCGTGACTGAAATCGTGGCAGACGTTGGCTTCACGGTGGTTTTCATACTTCGGCACGGGGAGAAGGTGGTATGTAGGGAATAAGACGATGGGGGAAGGGGAGGAGCTTTCTCAAGACCATGCACAGACCTTTAGGGGGGCAGGTGGTAACACTAGTTGACCCTTATCTGTGTACAGCTCTGTGTGAGGAATAGCAGCAAGCAAACTGATAATGACCCATTTAAAACAACCTTAGCAGTGGTTATTATGACTACAGTCTAGTATATTATGTATTTATTATTATAGACAATTGTATGGACTTATATTATACACATGTATATATATATATATACAGTGGGGGAAAAAAGTATTTAGTCAGCCACCAATTGTGCAAGTTCTCCCACTTAAAAAGATGAGAGAGGCCTGTAATTTTCATCATAGGTACACATCAACTATGACAGACAAACTGAGATTTTTTTCTCTCCAGAAAATCACATTGTAGGATTTTTAATGAATTTATTTGCAAATTATGGTGGAAAATAAGTAATATAACGTTCTAACAATAACCATTGGGGTGCCAGGACAGAGAAGAGCTTGGGCTGAGCGGGAGCTGTCCTCCCGTAGAGGTGGGAGGGCCAAGAGACCAGAGGTGGCAGAACAGAGTACTCAGGTTGGGGTGTAGGGTTTAAGCATAGCCTGAAGGTAGGGAGGGGCAATACCTCTTGTTGCTTTGTAGGTCTTGTAGTGGATGTGAGCTGCATCTGGAAGCCAGTGGAGTGTGCGGAGGAGCGGAGGAGCGGTACGACATGGGAGAACTTGGGAAGGTTGAACACCAGGCGGGCTGCAGCGTTCTGGATAAGTTGCAGGGGTTTGATGGCACAAGCGGCGAGCCCAGCCAACGGCGAGTTGCAGTAGTCCAGACGACAAGTGCCTGGATTAGAACGCCGCTTCCTGTGTGATGTAGGGTCGTACCTTGTGTCATGTTGATGAGGTAAAATGTCTCGAGGGTCCAATCTTATTGTCTACAGCTGGATAGCCATTGTCACCCATATACCACCCATATACCACCCACATACCACCCATATACCACCCACATACCACCCAAACACCACCCACATACCACCCATGTACACTATATATCTACAAAAGCCTCTGGAAGCAACTTCAGCTCAAGAAAAGTTTGTCGGGAGCTTCATGAAATGGGTTTCCATGGCCGAGCAGCCGCACACAAGCCTAAGATCACCATGAGCAATGCCAAGCGTCGGCTGGAGTGGTGTAAAGCTCGCCGCCATTGAACTCTGGAACATTGGAAACGCGTTCTCTGGAATGATGAGTCACGCTTCGCCATCTGGCAGTCCAACGGACTAATCTGGGTTTGGCGGATGCCCGCGGAACGCTATCTGCCCGAATGCATAGTGCCAACTGTAAAGTTTGGTGGAGGAGGAATAATGGTCTGGGGCTGTTTTTCATGGTTCGGGCTAGGCCCTTTAGTTTCAGTGAAGGGAAATCTTAACGCTACAGCATACAATGACATTCTAGCTGATTCTGTTCTTCTAACTTTGTGGCAACAGTTTGGGGAAGGCCCTTTCCTGTTTCAGCATGACATTGTCCCCGTGCACAAAGCGAGGTCCATACAGAAATGGTTTGTCGAGATCAGTGTGGGAGAACTTGACTGGCCTGCACAGAGCCCTGACCTCAACCCCATCGAACACCTTTGGGATGAATTGGAACGCAGACTGCGAGCCAGGCCTAATCACCCAACATCAGTGCCCGACCTCACTAAT